GTCAGGGAGCACTGTAGCAGGCCGCGCGTGCATGTGCAGCGCCACTCCCTTTGTGGTTCCCCACACCTTTTCTCACCTTTTCCCTCCGTCTACCACTAACACGCCGCGGCCTCCTGGGTCCCTCGCTTTTCTGCTCTTCACTCGTCCCTCCAGGTTTGCAGGAGACTCTCACCCACACCTGCAGCTTCCATCTTTCGTTATAACTGATAACCACCAATCCACATACCTGGAGCTCCAGGCTGGTATGGTCACACCTGCATCTTCCTACTGCAGTTCTCACTTGGGAAGCCCAGGCTCAATTTATTAGCTTCCTATTGCTGCTGTAACAATTCCCACAAGCTTAGATGCTAAAAGCAATGCGCATTTATTGTTTTATGGAAATCCGACAAGACCTCAAAAGGCTAAGATCAAGGGTCAGCAGGGCTGTGTTCCTTTATGGAGACTCTGGGGGAGGGGATCCACTTTCTTGTCTTTTCTACCTTCTAGGGGTCGCCCACATTCCTTGGCTCATGTCCCCTTTCCTTCATCTTCAAGCCAGCAACATTGCATCTCTCTGACCATTCTTCTATAGTCACATCTCCTTTTGATCACAGATAAGAAAGTTTATTTTTAAGGATCCATGTGATTACCGATGGGTGCACATTGAAAACTCAGGATAATTTCACCATTTTAAAGCCCTTAAATTAATCACATCTGCAAAGCCCCTTTTGTCATGCAGGGTTACATAGTTTTTTATAGGTTCCAGGGATTAAGACATGAATATATCTGGGTGGCCATTATTCTGCCTACCACCCTCAACATGTCCAAAGTTGTAGCCATCGCTTCCTCCATTCCTCACCCTACCTTACTGTTGCTAGAGGATTGGCTGGGTTGCAATTCCCCGTCACTAGTGGGAGTGGGGTTCTTACATCTTTTAAAAGGGAATTTTCTAAGGTTTGCACAGGAGAAAGAGTGGTTTTTATTGGCATGGAATTATATTTCTTGGGTTGCAAAGTCCCATGTCCCTTAATCCAGCCTTGGAAAACACAAAGCTGGGGCTCCAACAGAGCCAAAGGCAGGGCCAGTGTCCAGAGATTTTGTTCCATGGTGGAGCTGGGTCCAATGTAGCATCAGGCTAGCTGAAGTCCATTAGTCCATTGCGTGGGTCCCACAGGAGCCATGTGGGCAAATGCAGGGAGCTCGGCCCCTGCACCAGGAGTCCCCGGAGGGCAAGAGCTTGAAGAGCACAAAAGCACAGCGACGACTCCCTTTGTTCCGGAGTCGAGTGTCTCAGACTTCACACCCCTGCAGTGTCCGCCCCGATGCTGGCCACGGCCTCGCTCCTGGTGTGACTGCCAGGTAAGCACCTTCCCATGTCACTTAGACTTTCCTGGGCAGGCGCCTATCGTCAGTCCCTGGCCCCAGCGACCCGCGGGGGGCGCTCGGAGAGGGCTAACTGCGGCTTCCTGGCAGAGCTGTACAGATGGGCCGCCTCTCCGACCCCGTCTCCCCTTCGCTCCTTCCCTGTTAATTACTAACCAAATTATTATAACGATATCATTAGTATTCCCCTGTAGTTCCTACTGACATTCGTGGCACGACCATGTCCCCAGTGGCCTGACTTTAGAAGGCAGGCCTCATCATTCGCCCTTCTGTCTTTCTCACTTTCATATCCAACGGGTGGCAAAGCCCTGCCAGTTCTCCCTCTAGAAACCCCCCTTCAGTGAGTCTTCGCCACTCAGTGCAAACCCGCAGCCCCCGGGGGCTCCTCACGCTTGCCTGTCCTCCCATAGCAGAGAAGCGCCACCGTTCTCTAGACTGAGTAGTGTCTCGCTTTGTCCCGTCTCCAGATCCTTCTTCCACACTGTCACTAAAGTTATCTTTCGCAAAAACACAGTTGATCATGTCAATCCTGAGCTTAAAACGCATTTATAGCTTCCCACGGCCTATAGGATACGGTTCAGTTTCCGACCGCAAACAGCAGCAGCCTTATCTTCAAGGCCACCCCGCCGCAGCGGCGAAGGGGGATTCCCGAGCTCAGTGTTTCCTCCGGCCCCGCGGCTTTGCCTGCGCTGTTCCTTCTGCGTGGGCTCCCCTGCTCTCCCCTCTGCCCGTGGAACTGCCGTCCTCAAGGCCGCGCTCAAACAGCACCCGCTTGCTCTTACTTCTGTACCCCCCAGACTGCTGCACGTCGGTCACGGGCGCATGGTTTAGAGTCGGACACTCCACCATGACGCAGCTTTGATTGAGGGCAAACTGTTTGTTCCTCTGAGTTTGGATTCCTCCTCTGCATCCACCTCACAGTGTTCTTATGAGGGATAAATAAGATAATATAGATAAAGCACCTATCACAGTCAGAAAGTTAGTACTCAGTTAAGTGGCCGGTGTTATTACTCACGTATTTATTATATCCCCCATTATATATTTTATATCTGTTTTCATTAGGAGATGATGAGCCTCTTGAGGAAACAAAGCGCATGTTGAAAGCGCCATAGCAGACTCATTTTATTTCCTTAACACCTAGCACAGTACCTAGCATATTGTATGTATTCAACCAACAACTGTCAAAGAAATGGATCAATAGGTATATGGATGGATGAATGAAAGAATAAACGACTGCCCATAGACATGAGCAAAATAAGTACTTTGGCAGCCCTTGGATTTGGGGAAATTTCTTAGAAAGTTGAGGGCATTTCTTTCTCACCTTTCACCTGGCAATCTCTTGCTCCAGATACGAGCCTGTTCTTACATAAATCCATGCAAGTGACTGTCCCCTGGTGGCCATTGAAGATTCGTATGCAAGTCCCACTTTTCAGATCCCAGTATCTGCAGGAATTAGGCCAAAAAAATGTATTTGAGGTTTTCTCAGGGCCCAAGGAATCATACTGTATAGAGTTCTTGTAGATCAAAAAGTAGCTGTAAGGCAGAAAAGCTTCCCAGTTAAGCTCAGAGGCCTGGAATTGAATCTCAGTTGTAGCACCTATTAGGTGTGTAACTTTGGGAAAGTTACTCAATTTCCGTGTAAGCTTCATTTCCTGATTGATAAAATGGAAGTGATAATACTAGTAGTTACCACATAGGATTTTTGTGAAGAATTAAATACACGAATGCAACGATTGTCAACTCTGGGTGATTTCTACCCCACGGAACATTTGCCAATGTCTGAGACATTTTTGGTTGTCACAAGCGGGGCTGGAGGTGCTACTGGTATCTAGTGTGTAGAGTTCAAGGATGCTGATAAACATCCTACAATGCACAGGGCTATCTCCACAGAAAGAATTTTCCAGCCCTAAATGTCAATAGTGCTGAAGTTGAGAAACCCTGCATTAAGGCATGTAACATTAGAACAGTGACCAACATATAGAAAATACTCAGTAAATGTTAGTTGGTATTAGGAGGAAGGGTCCCTGGAATGACCACCAGGCCTAGAATTCATAACACTGATTCAATGGTAGAGCTGATCTTCAAACAAGAACAACAGAATAATGTACACCAGCCACTCAGACCCCAAATATTTTAGGTATATTTCTGAAGCATATCTAAGAGATATATAGAAACATGAATGTGTCACACTGTTTTTTAATAAACAGACTTGCCTGAGGTCTCTTAACTATCATTATTACAGATTTCCACTTCAGCCAGATTTCTTTTGTGACAGGGCAAAGGTTAATGCTTAGATAATAGATTCTGGAGCCGGGATGCCTGAGATCTATTCCCAGGTCCATCACTTACCGGCTGTATGATCTCGGATAAGTTACTGAACCACTCTGTGCCTCAGTTTCCTCATCTGTAAACTGGGGGTAATAATGGTACTTGCCTCATATAGTTATTATTAGATTTGGAACATAATAGATGATTAATAATAATACTTAATAATAGTACATTCTTTGAATGTGTTAAGCTTTTTTCTTCTAACATCCCCAAGTGTCCTATGGCTTTATCTGTTTGTCAGAGCTTACTACGCGGGCTAGCCGATCAGTGACTCTCATTATTGATGTTTCTATCTCTGTCTCTCCCTCTCCTTTCCTCTCTCTGAAATCAATAAAGATATATTTAAAAAATAATAATAATAATAAGTAAATAAATAAAATACAAAAGGTTAAAGACAAAGAGAGAATCTTAAAAGCAGCTAGAGAAAAGCAGTTAGTTACCTGCAAGGGAGCTCCCATAAGACTGTCAGCTAATTTCTCAACAGAAACTTTGAAGGCCAGAAGGGATTAGCATGAAATATTCAAAGTGATGAAAAGCAAGGACCTACATCCAATATTACTGTATCCAGCATAGCTTTCAACTACAACAGGAGGATTCACATAACCCACACAAGGGACCTTCCTGGAGCACCCAGCTCAGGTATCAAGGAAATTGCACTGCAGGATCCCACAGGATACTTACTACATAAGGGCACCCTACCAAGATGGGGAGACAAGCAGATCTACCTAATATATAGAAACAAACACACAGAGGCAGCCAAAGTAGAAAGACAAGAAACATGCTCCAAATAAAAGAACAGGAGAAATATCCAGGGAAAAGGACTACATGAAATGTAGGCAAGCAATCTGCAAATACAAAACTCAAAACAATGATTATAAGGATACTCCAGAAACTTAGTGATAACTTCAACAGCATAAAAAAGGACATAGAAACCATAAAAAAGAACCAGCCAGAAATGAAGAATACAACATCTGAAATGAAGAATACACTAGAAAGAATTAATAGCAGATTAGATGAAGTAGAGGATTGAATTAGTGATTTGGTCAATGAAATCCAGAAAACACCCAGTCAGAGCATCAAAAAGATAGAAGAATTTTAAAAAGTGAGGCTAGTTTAGGGGACTTTTAGGACAAATGAACAATAACAACAACTGTATCACAGAGGTACCAGAAGTAGGAAAGGGGTTGAGAATCTATTTGAAAAAATAATGACTGAAAACTTCCCTAAACTTGTGAAGAAAAAAGATGCACAAATCCAAGAATCAAAAAAGTACCAAACAAGATGAACCCAAAGAGGCCCACACCAAGACACATCATAATTTAAATGGAAAAAGTTAGCCCTGGTAGGGGTTGCTAAGTGGTTAGAGGGTCAGCCCATGTACCGCAGGGTCACAGGTTCAATTTCTGGTCAGGGGCACATACCTGAGTTGCAGGTTCGATCCCCAGCCCCAGTTGGGACTCAAGCAGGAGGCAACCGATTGATGTGTCTCTCTCACATCAATGTTTCCCTCTCTTCCTCTCTCTCTCTCCTCCCCTTCCTTTCACTCTCATTAAAAAAAGGCAATGGGGAAAAAAACCCTTGGGTGAGGATTAAAAAATTAAAAATAAATAAATAAAATAAACTGGCAAAGGCTAAAGACATAGAGAAAATCTGAAAAGCAACAAGAGAAAGACAGTTACTTACAAGGGAGCATCAATAAGACTATCAGCTCATTTCTCAAGAGAAACATTTTAGGCCAAAATGGATTGTCATGAAATGCTCAACCGAGGTTACTCTACCCAGCAAGGCTGTCATTTAAAATTAAAGGACAAATAAAGAGCTTCCCAGACAAGAAAAAACTGAAAGAGTTCATTACCACCAACCCAGTATTACTAGAAATGTTAAAGGGAAGAAGAAGAAAAAGGAGGGAGAGGGGGAGAGGGAGAAGAAGGAGGAGGGGATGAAGAAGGGGGAGGGGTAGGAGGAGAAAAGAAAGTATCAAGTTATAAAGATTAAAATGGCAATAAGTGTGTACCTATCCATAATCACTCAAAATGTAAAATGCTAAGTGCTCCAATCAAAGGACATAGGGTGGCTGAATGGATAAGAAAATAAGACTCATATATATGCTGTCTACAAGAGACCCACCTTGGAATGAATCTACAAACAGATTAATATAAAGGAATGAAAAAAGATATTTCATGCAAATACAAATGAAAAAGCAGCTGGGTTAGCAATACTTATAACATATAAAATAAACTTTAAAGCAAAGGCTATATAAGAGACAAAGAAGGAGACTTTATAATGATAAAGGGATCAATCCAACAAGAGAATTTAACCTTTAAAATCATTTATGCACCCAACATAGGAGCACCTAAATATATAAAGCAAATCTTGATGAACATAGAGAGATCTACAGTAATATGGTAATAGTAGGGTATTTTCACACCCCATTGACATCAATGGACAGATCTTTCAGACAGAAAATCAACAAGGAAACAGAGGCCTTAAATGGCACACTATACCAGATAAATTTAATTGATATCTTCAGAGCATTTCACCCCAAAGCAGCAGAATTTTTTTTTCAAGTGCACATGGGTCATTTTCTAGGACAGACCACGTGTTAGGACACAAAACTAGTCTCAATAAATTTAAGAGGATTAGAATCCTATGAAGCATCTTCTCTGACCAAAATGGTACTAGACTAGAAATCAATCACAAGAAAAAAAAAAAAAACAGAAAAGCACACAAACACATGAAGGCTAAATAGCATGCTACTTAACAATGAATGGGTTAAAAATGAGATCAAGAAATAAATCAAAAGTACGTTGAAACCAATGAAAATGAGAACACAACAATGCAAAAATCTATGGACACAGCAAAAGCAATCCTAAGAGATAAATTCATAGCAGTGCATGCCTACTTCAAGAAAAAAGAAAAATCTCAAATAAACAACCTAATCTTACACTTATAGGAACTTGAAAAAGAACAAGAAACAAAGCCCAAAGTGAGTAGAAGAATGGAAATAATAAAGATCAGAGCAAAAATAAACAAAATGGAGTCTGGGGGGAAAAAAATACAAAAGAAGAATAAAACCAGGAGCTGGTTCATTGAAAAGATTAGCAATATTGATAAACCTTAAACCAGACTCTACAAGAAAAAAAGACAGAGTACCCAAATAAATAAAATCAGAAATAGAGAGAAGTAACAACTGACACCACAGAAATACAAAGGATTATAAGAAAATATTATGAACACTTATATGCCAACAAATTGGATGCTCTGGGAGAAATGGATAAAGTCCTAGAAACATACAACCTCCCATAACTGAATCAAGAAGAAACAAAGTCCTGAACCAGATGGCTTCACAGGTGAACTTTACCAAATATTCAAAGAAGAACTAACATCTATCCTCCTCAAACTATTCCAAAAAATTCAAGAGGAAGGAGTACATCCAATCTCTTTTTATGAGGCCAGCATTATTCTAATTCCAAAACCAGATAATGACACTAAAAAGAAAGAAAATTATAGGCCAATATCCCTGATGAACATAGATGCTAAAGTCCTTGACAAAATATTAGCAAATCAGGTCCAGAAATACATTAAAAAGATCATACCCCATGACCAAGGATTTATTCTGGGTATGCAAGGCTGCTATGATATTCACAAATCAGTAAATGTGATACATCACATAAAATGAAGACAAAAATCACATGATCATATCAATACATGCAGGAAAAGCATTCGACAAAATCCAGCACCCATTTATGATAAAAACCCTCAGCAAAGTGGGCATAGAGGAATCAGATGTCAACATAATAAAGGCAATATATGAAAAACCTACAGTCAACATCATACCCAATGCACAAAAAATAAAGTGTTTCCTTTAAAATCAGGTACAAGACAGGGATGTCCACTTTCACCACTCTTATTCAACATAGTACTGGAAGTCCTAGCCATAGCTAACAAACAAGAAGAAAAATTGGAAAAGAGGAAGGAAGTAAATCTGTCATTATTCACAGATGACATGATAGAACCCCCTAAAGACTCCGCCAGAAAACTACTAGATTTAATAAATAAATTTGGCAAATAATCAAAATACAAAATTAACATCCAGTAATCAATGGCATTTTTATAATGAACACTAATAATGAACTCTCAGAAAGAAGAGCTAAAAAAAAATCCCATTTACCATTGGAAAAAAAAAGGTACCTAGGAATAAACTTAACCAAGGAGGTAAAAGACCTGTACTCAGAAAACTATAAGACATTGAAAAAAAAAGATAGAGCAAGATACAAACAGGTAGAAGCATATACCATGTTTATGGATTGGAAGAATTAACATCATTAAAATGTCCATACAACCCAAAGCAATCTATAGATTCAACATAATCCCTATTAAAATACCAAATATCATATTTCATAGATCTAGAACAAATATTCCAAAAGTTTACATGGGAACAAAAAGACCCCGAATAGGCACAGCAATCTTAAGAAAGAAGAACAAAGTTGGAGGGATCACAATACCAGATATCAAACTATTCTACAAAGCCATTGTAATAAAAAAACAGCCTGGTACTGGCCCAAGAACAGGCATATAGATCAATAGAACAGAACAGAGACCCCAGAAATCAACCCACACCATTATGGCCAATTAATATTTGACAAAGGAGGCAAGAGCATACAGTGGAGTAAAGACAGTCTCTTCAATAAATGGTGTTGGGGAAATTGAACAGGTACATGCAAAAAAAATGAAACTAGACCATCAATTTACACCACACACAAGAAAAACTCAAAATGAATAAAATTCTTAATGTAAGTCATAAAACTATAAAAATCCTAGAAGAAAACATAGGCAGTAAAATCTCAGACATCTAACACAGCTGTATTTTTGTCAATACATCTAGGGCAAGAGAAACAAAGGAAAAAAATAAATAAATGGGACTACATCAAACTAAAAAGCTTCTGCACAGCAAAAGAAATCATCAGCAAAGTGAAAAGGGAACCCACTGTATGGGAGAACATATTTGCCAATGATACATCTGATAAGGGGTAAATTTCCAAAATATATAAACAACTTATACAACTCAACACCAGGAAGACAGACAATCCAATTTAAAAATGGGCAAAGAACCCGAATAGACACTTTTCCAAAGAGGACATACAGATGGCCAAGAGACATATGAAAAAATGCTCAACATCACTAATCATCAGAGATGCAAATTAAAACTACAATTAGGCATCACCTCACATGTGTCAGAAAGGCACCTTCAACAAATCAACAAACGACAACTGCTGGCGAGGGTGTGGAGAAAAGGGAACGCTAATGCGCTGCTGGTGGGAATGCAGACTGGTGCAACCACTATGGAAGACAGTATGGATTTTCCTCAGAAAAGTAAAAATGAAGCTGCCTTTTAACCTAGAGATCCCACTTCTGGGACTATATCCTAAGAATCCCAAAACATCACTCAGAAAGAATATATGCACCCCTATGTTCATAGCAGCATTATTTACAATAGCTAAGATCTGGAAACTGCCCAAGTGCCCATCAGTAGATGAGTGGATAAAAAAGCTGTGGCACTTTTACCCAATGGAATACTATGCAGCTATAAAAAAAGATCTCCTACCCTTTTCGACAACATGGATGGACTCAGAGATTATTATCCTAAGCGAAATAAACCAGTCAGAGAAAGATAACTGTCACATGATCTCACTTATATGTGGAATCTAATGAGCAAAATAAACTAACAAACAAAATAGGATCAGAGACATGGATGCATAGAACGAACTGACAGATCTCAGAGTGGAGGGGGGTGTGGGGTGCCAGAAGAAGAGACCAACCAAAGAACATACATGCGTATATGCATAGCCCATAGACACAGGCAACAGTGAGAAAGGCCTGGGGTGGGGTGGGAGCTGAGCAAAGGGGGGCAAAATGAGGGAAAACGGGAGACATCTGCAATATTGTCAAAAATTTAAAAATTCATGCACTACAGTTAAGAATACTGTTGCATATATTCGAAAGTTATCAGAGAGATCTTAAAAATTCACATCACGACCGCAACAAATGTGTAACTATGTGCAGCGATGGATATAACTAAATTTATTGTGGTAATTATTTTGCAATATATACGCACATCAAGTCATTATGCTGTACACCTAAAACTAAAATGTTATATGTCAATTATACCTCAGTAAAGTTTTTTTCTAAAAGCTCATATACACAGGCACCAGGAGACAAATCCAAGAACACCTATGGCAGCACTCCTGGAAAGAATTTTAAAAAACTAGAAACAATGCAAATATCCATTAATAAAAATAAATGAATGAGTTAAGATATATTCATCCAATAAAATACTGTATCTCAGTAAAAATAAATTAAGTACTGCTGCCTACATTATATGAATGAATCTCAAGAAGTCAAATACAGATGGATTTTTAAAACACAGTTCCATTTATGTTAAGTTCAAAAATGGAGAAAAGTAATAAATATATTTGAAGAGATATAAAAGGCAACAAAAGTATAAAGAAACCTATAAAAACACAAGGGAATAATTAGTATAAAATTGAGAATATCATTACCTCTGGTTGGGAGGAAAACAGAAGCAGCAATGGGAAGTCGCATAGTGGGGCTTGGAGAATGATAATGTTTTGTTCCTTGGCCTGAGTAATGAGTACAGTTGTGTATTTTATATTCTTTAAAAATAAATGTAGATATACATTTCAAACACTATCTTGCTTCTATATCATATTTTATACCCACAAAAAACTACTTTCCCCTGAAGGAATCTATACAAGGAAATATAAATTATACCTTCATCTAAGAATGCTAAAAAGATACTCGCTGATTCACAGTCTTCGACTAGAACACAGATCTGGTAATTGTTATAAGTCTATCTCATTCAAAGCTTAAACAGTATACAAATTATTGGTTTTTACCTTGGCAAAAAGGCAAAACATGGTGGGTTGTTCTAGAAGTTAGTATTATTTAGGACAACTTTTCAGTAAATACAAAAAGGGAAAGCATGCACGGGTGGTCCACAGCCGACGTGAGGCCGGCGGCGAGGAGCCGCAGCCCGGGCCCCTCACCTGATGCTCAGGTCGTAGCTCCCGCTCAGGAGGAAGCTGTCCTCCTCGCACAGGAACAGGGCGCGCACACTCCCCGCGTGGCCTCGGAACTCGATGGGGACCTCTTTTGCTTGTACGACGTCCAGAAGCTGGATCTTCCGATTGGATGACACAGCTACCAAGTCTCCCCCAGAATAGTGGATGACTCTGTTCCTGTCCCACCTGAGTGGCCCGGAAAAAGGATGATTCATGAAAAAAGAGTTAGTGTCCTGCCTGGAACTCACTTAGCGTGGTGGCCTTCACCTGCAAATATAATGGAAAATTCAAGGGGTTCCAACAAGGACAGTAGCAGAGAGCAAGGCCCAGTATTAACCAGCCCTGACACATCCCTACCTCATACCATAACAAAACAAAACAAATCAAAAATCCATTTTGGGTAGATTTAAAACCTTAAGACAAAAGGCAAAAATTAAAAAAAATAAAAACAAAAATCTGCTAGTTAATGTATCATAAACCCCCAAGACAGAGAACAGGGGAATAGAGCACGCAGCATTTCCCAACTTATTTGACCACAGAAACCTTTTTCATGGAAAACCTCAGAGGAACACAGTTGGGAAGCCCTATGTCCACTGCATATACCACTGTTTCTTTTTTTTAATATATAACCAATATCCAGTGAGCATATATTAGGTTCAAAGTCCTGTGCTAATAGGCACCGTGGGGATACAAAGGTGAGTAAGGTGTGAACCCTGCCCTCAGTGAGCTTCGGGTCCAATAAAACAGGGTGAGTTGAATTAATTTTCCAGTCATAAGATTATTAACAAATACATAAAACATGAGCAGGATGACCAAATAATTTATTGTCCAAACATTTTTATTGTGAAAGGGGACACTATTATTAATTACTCCAGGATCACGGAGAAAAGTGGTATTGTTTCAGTAAAAAGAAACGTAAGATCACTCTAAATATGAGGAGCAACTGTGTCCTCATTGCACTTGTCGTACCTTGAGCTCAGCCAGTCACCATCGTTTCTAAAGAGTGCTTATCACCACACTACTCATAAAAACTCAACTTTGCCTTCCCCCATCTGCTCTGTCTTTCCCTTAAGGACTGGTCAAGATGCAACTGGTTAGTATGACTCACAGCCCAAAATAAAATTGAGATGGTCTTTACAAAACCTTATGAATGAGGAATGAAGTCCTGGACCGAAAGTATGGCAGAAAGTTGATTATTAAAGGGTCTTCTATGGCATATCCAAGTGATACCTCACTATGCAGTTATCATAAATACCATTGTCATATTTAACATGGAAAGATATCCACAGTATTTTGCTGGAGTGGGTTATAGAAATATGTATAACATAACCCCGTTTCTATTTAAAATATATATTTATGCATGCAAAAAAAATTCTAGATTAACCACCAATATTAATGGTAGTTATCTCTAGATGACAAGACTATAGGGCATTTTTGCTTTTCTCTATACATTTTCTGGCATTTGGTGGCTTTTCCCCCCACTAAGCATATATTACTTAATTGTGCATGAGTTTGTTGGTCAGTATACCCAAAATGTATAAAGGGAAAGCATCCCCTACACACTGCTGATAAAGGTGCAAAACTCAAACACCTAGTCTCATGTTAATTTGGAGCTAGAGTTTGAGGTGAGGAAGGATTGCCTTTCCAAGTGAACAAGGGCCATGGAAATCCTAAAATGTCAGTGTGGGTAATTCAAGGGTCCCTGAAGACCTAGATTTAGACACTAGTACCTACGTGTCAGAGAGAATGTGGATGTTGTAAGTCCCGCAGAAGACATTTCTCTCCTCCATCTGGATCTGCTGGGTCTCCTGGTTCTGGTATGCCGTCCACAGGTTGTAGTCAGTCTAACAAGGGACACTTAGAGTCAAAAGCACGGCGGCAACTTTCTCCATGTATCCCCTAGAGTCTCCCCTGGCAAGGACACAGGGCCCATGGATTCTACCTCTTCAGCCTGCGGCGGTTGCTACATGGTGATGGGGAGGGGCCAATGAGCAGGCAGAAAAGTAATGGGTAAGTTAGAAAACGTTGAGTCCGGGGTCCTACTTCTTCTTTCACCTCTTTGTGTTTTGTATGTGTCCTGATTCCATGAACTGTCAACGTCGCTGATGCACAACTTTTCCAAAAATGAGCTCACGAAGGGTATGCTCACAAATACAGTCACAGTGCCCTCTGACCAACCGCTTCACAGAAGTGGGGCTTCCCATTTCTGTTGCAGGTTCAGACCTGACAGTACAAAGTCTACACATGGGAACTCAAGCCACAGGTGACACGACTGCTACACTTCAAAGTTTTCATACATCAGCAACCTCAATTTCTCCTTACAGCTGCCTCACAAAGTACCTCGTTCACCGCAAAAAGTATTCTGATTATTTTACAGATGAGGTGCCTGAGCCTCAGAGAGGAGAAATCAAAATATCAGAGGTGCCTGCCTTCCCTTCTCATTCCTCCCTTCCTTCCTTTCTTCCCCCCTCCTCCCTTCCTTCCTTCCTGTCTCCCTCCCCCTTTCCCTTAATCACACACTTTCTGAGCAGCTATTGCGTGCGAAGCATGCTCAATTCTGGCACAGACGACTCCACTGGACTCCCAGTTCCACTCTCCTTCCCAGCCGTACACTTCACCCTCCAGCAGCAGAAAATAACAATCACACTTCCAGAAAACCAAAAGCAGGGTGAGTTTATCATGAAAGCAGTGGACCCAACCATCATGCTTGCATCTGGGGGATCTCTCCCTAAGTTTTCTTCCAAACCTTAGCCATCTCCATGCTTGTAGACCCTCCCTCAGAATGCCCGCTTTCCTCAGCTCGCTCTCCTTCTTAATCTTAACCAAGCAGTGATATCCACCTACGAGTCTCTCACCAGAGGAGTCTGTCAAACCGTCTCCCTCCACAGCCCAAGCAGCTCTGATTCTCCGCCTTGAATAAATGAGGCTTCCCTGCTTCTCACATCCCAGGCTGCAATTCCTTGGCTCTTGCTCATCAACTAAGTTTTGAGAGCCTAGAATCTACATGGTAGAGTTGTTGGGAGGAACAAGACCTGAGTTCAAATTCCAGCTCTGCCACTGACCAGTTATGGGAACTTGGGCAAGTTTTCTAACATCACGGCCTTCATTTCCACATCCGCAGTGGCAGCAATGCTACCTACCCAAGCTATGGTGAAGACCAGGTGCATAATGTGTGCAAAGCCCTTGGCACTGTGCCTGGCACACTGTTTGAGCTCAGTACCCATTGCAATCGGCACCCCTCAGAATCACTCGCCTCCACCTCTCTCTAGCTGACCCCCTAACTGCTTTGTCTTGCTACTCGACAGATTCTCTTCTGGCCTCCATACTGCTTTACCTGTTTTTCTCTTTTTCTTAAAATTCTAAAATATTAAACCCTGTCCGGGTAGTCCTTTTTTGTCAGGTGATTATAGCTATATCACCTAAGGAAGACGTGTGTCACTTTCATTATACTTCACAGAGCAACAGGCTTGGCAAGAGCAGGGCAGCATTTAACTTGTGTGTATCTCTGCCACTCTGCCGGCTAGGAACCTGAACCTCTCTGTGCCTCAGTTTCTTTATCTAGAGAATGAGTGAATGGACTAACTCAAAGATTTAAAAAATTGCAGATCAAATGAGGTAAACAAATGTCTTTTCCTTGGCCCATTTTTTTTTTTTAATTTATTTATTTATTTTTAATATATCTTTATTGATTTCAGAGAGAGCAAAGGAGAGGGAGAGAGAGAGACAGAAACATCAATGATGAGAGAGTCACTGATGGAGCCCACAACCTGGGCATGTGCCCTGACCAGGGTTCGAACCCCGATCGCCTGGATCCTAGGTCGACACTCAACCGCTGAGCCACACCCAGCCGGGCAGCCCATATTTTTTTTTTAAATGCTTTTAATTAGTTCTCAGCATTTCAGAAAAGCAAAGACTATCACGTGACAGTCAGATTTCTAACTTCCCTCGAAAGCCCAGCGGTCTGGGAGGTCGAGCTCCACAGTTGCCCATGGCAGTCATTAGCTGCAGCTGAGTAGCAATTGGCCCCTTCACATGGGAAGTGAACCCTCTAATCCATCCCTGTCCCACTGCCTTGACTGCTCACACCACCCACCTCCCTCATTCATGGGACCTGTGGCCTCTACAGACATACGAGCTAGATGGTCTCTCTGTACACTTCTACCTCTCAAGTTATAATTTACACCGCACAGTTTTCCTATGGGAAGCTACAGTCTGCCCACCCCTCATTAAATATTCTTTGGGGGCCCACTGAATAATTTCCAAATAGGAGGCCCTTGAGCAAAGGGGAGGGAGAGGAATCTAATGGTTCTAGGAGTGAACCATGCCTGGATAGGCAGAGCATGGAGTGCAGACTCTTCCACCTACTCCCCATCAATGCCCAAGATTTGGCAGGGAGGTCTAGGGTTAAGTAACTCTCCCCTTTCATCCTAGAATCAGAGTGAACCTGGAAGTGCAAGGTGAGAAAGCTTAATTGATTCTGGACCCTGGACATTCTGTACTGGTCCTGGCCCTCCCCTCGTGCTCTTCTCATTTCAGAGCCGCAGACTCTTGCAGCTTGATGCATGGACTGACAGGTGTCGAGGAAAATCCCAGCCATCACCGACACTGCCCCTGGCTCTGAGCTCTGCACCAGATGACTTGGTGCCGTGGACATAGGACATCGCCATGGGATTTGAAGTAAGGACAACCAACCCTGAGAGGACAACCAGATCAATCCACTCATTTAACAGATGAGGCATTTAAGGCTTAAAGAAAGGAAGTGACTTAAGCTTAAGGACACATAGCACAGAACTCTGGTCTCCCTTAGGGAATGTCACCTCCCATATCCTATATCCATATGACATATCCTGTACCCTCCCATTTCCTATATCCTGTGTGAGGACTGAGCCTGGACTTCAGCCTACAGTGGCCAATAAGAGCATGACACAGTTATTTGCCTCCAATGCCATCAGAACCCACCTTTGTTCTCAGTTTCCATTTCTGATTTTTCACACGTGTGCGCTTTCCATCATCTGTCATTTTAGGAACTGGAATAAAAAGCTTGTTGGCGTAGGTAGGATCTATTCCCTTTGTGTAGGACCCCTGGGGGGAGAAACAGAACATGGCTACTCTTGGTGCCTCTCTCCAGAGGAGGGAAAACTAGTTCCTGGCAAGATCCGAAAGAGGGGTGAGCGCTGGCTCGGCAAGGCCCGGACCCGGCGGTTAGGCCACTAGTGTGTGCAGACTGGCCCAAGGAGGACACTGACACTCAGTCTGAACGAGGCAGGGAGGTGGTGGGCCGCTCCCAGCTTGCCTCTGCAGGGAGAGCCTGGCTCCCAAGAACTCGTGATCTGAGTTAGACTCAGGCAAGAAACAGAAGTAAAAATGCCAGAAATGATACAAATAGGCTTTGTGGCCCTGTGGACACCGGTGTACAGTGCCGGGCTGACCTAGAAACATAGGCGCTGCTTTCTGATTCTAAACGATGTAGCTCTCTGGGGCCGAGGGGTTCCCTGCTTCGTGAGGTCTCCCAAGGCTCTGCCTTTCTCTTCCTGACAGGTTTCTACACACTGTCCCTGCTCAATGCGCTGACAGCGGTTCGATAAACGGTAAATAATGGGATGTCCACGCAAAAAGGAAGTGGCTGCTGAAGGCTGTGAAGGGGCAAGCATGGAGCAGGAGGCCAGGCGGAGGGCCCGGTGTGGCCAGCCTGGGCCGGGAGCGAGGCCGGCCTCCAGACTGCCCCTCCCGGCCAAGTACCTGCAATAAGGCGATCTGGTTGTGAACGAACGTGTGCATCAAGAGGTCCGTCTTGACTTGCTGGGCCACCGTGGCCCAGTGCCGGCTCACAGAGGCACATCTGTTCAGGGTGGTTTTATCGAGCATACCTGAAAAAAAATCGATAAACCTGGGAACCTTCCAACTGGATTGCAATGGAAGTCTCTTGAGCAATCCCCAGTACAGCCCAGCATACATAGAATATACTTGGAGAGGTGGATGGGCAGGTGACGAATGAAGTCCTGGTATTTGCTGGCCCCAGATGACAAGTCTCTGACAGCATCCAGGTCAACCAACAGATGGGAGGGGATGTACCCTGCCTTGGGCATGTCTTCTTTTTTGGAAAATAGCCTATTCATCTCCGAGATACACTTGAGCGAACTCTTCCATTGTCCCGCTAGAACAAAGCAAGAGAAAGGTGCATAGTTGGGTTGTCTCTGTGGTAATTCCAGGCCAGTAAAACTCACCAGAATCTGCCCTTAGGCTACTGGATTTTTGTCATATCTTCAGCCAAATGAAAGTAGAAGCCCCCTAACCAAACACACAAGTACTTTTCAGCCTTCCCAGCCCAAGGAGCTGTCTACCGTCTCACAGCCTGCCCTGCTCAGGTGAAACGGCGTGGTGCCTGGGATTTCCCTCAGATCACCCAACAACAAAGCACTTTAAACAAGTTTAAAAGAGAGGAATGGGTGAAATAAGATTGGTAAAATGCTGGTAACTGTTGAAGCTAGGTGATGGTTATGTGAATGGTTATTATACTATTCTATCTACTTTTGAAATTTGAAATATTATATATAAAAATGTTCTAGAATCTGTGTGTTGTGTTTCCAGTCATTGTTTCATGTATGTGTCTTGCTTTGAAAATCAACCTAGGAGGGCCTTGAGTTCAGGGTCCAAATTCCCCACGGCTTTTGTTTCCTCCCCAAGGAATCCAGGGCTGCAAGAGCAGCCACTGAGTTTTTCAAAAAGAGTGGGTTGAATTCTAGAGGTGCCCCCCCATGCCACAGACAAGGGATTGTGGCCTGGGACAGAGGAAGGCTTCCAAGGAAGCCCTTGAGAGTTTCCCTCCTGATCTCTGTTTGCAGGTGTCCCTCGGAGGCACCGTGCTGCAGAGGTGGAAACATGGACTTTTGGAAACTGACTGATTTTATTCTTGTTTGTCCCCTTCGCAGAGTCCAACACACCACAGATGGAAACTGAGTGTTGATTCCCCAAGTCTGTCATGCCCGATGCTACTGCCTCCCTGCCCCTCCAGCCCCACCGGGGCTGCCCTAGCTCATGTCTGCTGGCTTTCTCACTACAAGCCCGCTTACCAGCAGGTGCTTCCAGCCCAGCATTTTTAAGCAAGCTTTCTCTTCCCGAATCTTTGGACGAAGGGAAGGATGTGCTCTTGGATTCCCAGCAGACATTTGAAGTATCATACTGGGGGTTGTAGTCTTTTCCAGGGAAAGAAAACACAAAATTGGAGTCTTGCGCAAACCCTGAAAAACAAAAGACTGAGACCAGGTTGCTCCTTAAGCAGGTGTGTGGCAGGAAAGAGGCAGCAGTTAATGGTTCCATTTCTGTTTGTTTCTCTTAAATCTACACAAAATGGGCCAGGCCAGTGCTGTCCATTTTCATTTGGGGCCTCTGAGTTTCTATGCAAAAATCACAGAAATCCCCTAATTAGATTTTGTTGGCCCACCTACAATGCAAAATTTATCAGAGCTCTATATATAAGGAGAGAGCTGCGGCCAAGAGGCGGAAGAGAGGCTGCTCTTCTGAAGCTCTGGCTTCATTTCCTTCAAGGATATGAAGAACTATCCTTTAGTCAAAATAGAAACTTTAACTTTTTAAGACAAAAGCTCTCTTAGGGAAATAAGAAGTTTGCACAACCTGTTCCTGGACTCAACTCTAATGTAAGTGGCTGCTTCCCGTGGGGGGTGATGGTAGCCCTACTGGCAATTCTGATACAAGCTAAATTTAAGAACTACTGTGCTAGCTGATCAATGACAACTCTCTCATCATTGATGTTTCTATCTCTCCCTCTCCCTTCCTTTCTCTGAAATCAATAAAGATATATTTTAAAAAAAGAAAAGAAAAAAAAGAACTATTGTGCTAGCCTTATTTAAGGCCCTCTTGCTATCTCCAGCCTTGGGTAAACTCCGCTTCAAGGCTAGATTTTATGTGCAAGCAAGGAAGATAGTGGAATGAGTAAAAAAATAAAGCCCTAAGTTTTGACCTGTTGGCCTGTTTCCTGCACAGTGCAGGGTGAAGGGTAAAACAATTAAATATCTTCCCCTCACATCCCTCCCAAGGCCAGTCCCATCTCCAGCCCACTGATGCAGGAACCACATCAGCCTTAAGTGATAGACACACAGACGAACCATTTAGAGACAAAGACGAGCCATTTCTGGGCTGAAGGGATGCAGAAATCCATTTTAAAGGCTCGGCAGTTAAAAGTTCTGTACACCTTCTGCATTTGTCATTTGACAGTTTTCTAGAAGGAAGTTACACTCAGCAATTTCTCCTCTGGTAAACAGAATCGGGTGTCAGGACAAAGAGCTCTATCCTGCCTTCTGGAAAATCCCCATCTACCTAAGTTTGTCCACACCTCTGGCTCCTTCACGAGCTCCAGAAGCCTGGCCCCCGGTCTCTGGGCGCTCTGGTCTCCACCTCTGGCCTTGTTTACCTGAAATGTTGTTCTGCTCTCTCTGCAGTAGGACTCTGATGACATGGGCAGCGGTGAGCAGTAACTTGGGGGTGCACATCTGCAGCAGCGAGAGTGTGTAATCTGCCTTAGTTCGGGGGGTGCTGCTCCCAAACCAGCACAGTATCTCCCTCATCTTCTGTTCTACTGTCTTGTCCAACATCTGGTTCAAGGTGAACTTCATGACTTCCCCTTCCTTCTTGCTCAGGTTGATCTGGGACTTGCTATAGATGAAATCCTTCCCCTGTGTGGTCTGAAGGATATTTTGAAAATACTGCAACAAGTGTAAGCTATCTAACTGCCCCAGAACGCTAACTAGAAACCTCCTCTGCTCCACCTCACCGATCCTTTGGAACCACTCTTTGGTGAAGAAGACCTTGCTGGCCAAGATGCACGTTTCACACTTCTGGCACACGGGAGCAGAATCGTTTCCCTTCTCGCAGTGAAAATAGGGGACATTCTTGAGCTGTGACTCCAGGTTGTCCATGACCCTGAGATGACCAGTTCATCTTATCCTTGCCCGGGGTCAACCCCACCAAACAGCAGAGGGACAGGGGAAGCTGACAGAGATCCCAAATGAGCCTTTCCTATTATAAACATCTCCCAGAGAAAAAGTAAACCTCTGAGATGGATGGAAAGCGTAGCTCTCCCAGAAACTGCCGGTAGAAGTGTGGCTTTCTGTCCAGAACTCCGAGGAAACACGGCTTTACCGTAAATCTCCTACACCTGGGACTGCTGATGTGGAGGCAGTTGCTGTATATTCTGAAAGAGCTGGTCATTTCATTTCTAGAACAAGATTAGCATTAGTCAAATTTAAGTAATATATATCCTCTGTAAAAACTCAATATGTAACATAGAAAAATGTAATATTCTATTAATACAAATTTATGTTATAAATTCAAAAGTTTACTTGTTAGCAAGGCAATTGTTGGGGACAATGGGGCTATTCTGATGAAGACAAAACCTTTAAACCTGAAGTTGAAGATGACAGGTACTGTCTTACATCGCAAAATTTAAATTCGTGATGTTCAGAGTGTTTTCTGTGGACTCTAGGTTCACACTTCCGGAAAACCTGGAGTCAGGGCTCAAGAATGCCCCCTATTTTCATTGTGGGAAGGGAAATGATTCTGTCCCTGTGTGCCAGAAGTGTGAACCTAGAGTACACGGAAAACCATTTGAACATTGCTATTAAGTGCTGACATATCCAGGATGAGCATCTGCAAATAATTTTCAAAAGGTTCCACTAAAAAAATACACACAAAAAACACATATACTTTGTGTTTCTGTGTATATACACATACAGAGAAAGTGCAAACGTAACAAAATGCTAATAACTGGTGGAATGTAGGCGGAGAACATATGAGTGTTCATCCTTCAGCTTTTGGTAGGTTTGAAATTTTTCAAAATAACTAATAAACATATACTGCTAAATTGGACAAAAAATTACTGTAATGGACTGCTCCCTAACATAGCTACCCAGCTTGCCACTGCAGCCAAAATGCCCTTGTAACTAAATGTTGGCAGCACAGAAAAGAGATTCGAAGGCACACTGAGACCATTCCACTTCAGCCAAGACTAGGTTCAAACACCAGTCCTGATACTTAGGAACTATATGATCTTGAGTAAGCTACCTGGGTGAGGATGGCAGAGATGAAGGCTGGTAATAAAAATTATAGCTACCTTCTAGGATTAAATCAAATGTGTGAGACCAGTGTCACTGCTATTGTTGCTGTTATTATGGTTATTACTCCAGGTTAAACCAAAAGATTTACAATACCATGAGTATTTTCAGTGCCCAGGTCTAGAGATGGGCACAGTTGAAGATAGGCACTGGAAACCATGGCCAAAGTTAGTGTGCAATGGCGATCCCTTGCCAGGGTCGGGTGGGGCCATTGAATCAGGCTGGGAAGGAGAACAGTGCTAACAACTCCACCTCTTCTGTCTGAAGAGATATCTGAAAGGCAAGAGCAGATTAGCATCTAATCTATCAGGGCCAGGCAAAGGAGGGTGGCCAGGAGGAGGGAGGCCCAAAGCAGAGGCTTGGGTATATAAGAGTGTGGGGCACATTATCCCCAGAAGTGCTACAAACTAAAAATAGCTTTTTTATATGTATATTAGTGATCTTTATTGATAGACAGTTTTCCATAATTATAGTGTTAATTGAAAAAATAGCTTTTTTTTTTTTTTAATCTTCACCCGAGGATATTTTTCCATTGCTTTTCAGAGAGAGTGGAAAGGAGAGAGAGCAACATCGATATGAGAGAGACACATCAATTGGTTGCCTCCCACACACACCCCAACCAGGGCTGGGGATCGAGCCTGCAACCCAGGTATGTGCCCTTGGCTGGAATTGAACCCAGGACCCTTCAGTCCAAGGGCCGACACTCTAACCACTGACCCAAACCAGCTAGGGCAAAAGTAGTTTGTTTTTAAAGGTCCAAATAAATCAAGATTTTAATCTGTGAGGCTGACATACATCAAGGAAGCAGTTTTACCAACCCAGCTCAGCCTTTATTCCATGCTCAGGGGCCCAATGTGGCCCAGCGGAGGGGCACAAACTTGGGAGTCAGGGAGACTGGGTGGAATCCCACTGCTGCTCCTACCAGAGGTGTGGCCTTGAAGAAGTAGGTCCAGCCTCTCTGAGTCCCCATTCCTTACCTGTAGAAGACACATGATCCTCCGCACCGTTGGATGTAACGTGAGGATTACATTAATCGCAGTAGGTGAGCATGTGGCTACTTCTGCGGCCTCTGCATTCCACTCATCCCCAGCTCTCCGCTCTGCCCTCTGTTGCTCATTGTTCATGATCCTGACTGAGCCCTCCTGCCCTTCCGCCCCAGATCTCCACTTCCTTTCCCGCCTGCCACGTGGTTTAGAGAGCCCAGCAGGTGCAGCTGCGGCTTCCCCGCCTGGCTCTGCTGCCTGCCTGACACTGCACCATGGTTCTTCTGGTTCTCACCAAAGCTGCCTGCCCTGGGTAGATTCCCATTTAGCTCCTCACATATAAACACTTTTCATTTTAATTTAAATCAACTTCTTTTTTTTATTATCAAGAGTCTTTTCCTATTTTTTTATTGTTGACATTATTACAAATGTCTTTCATTCCCCACCCCCATTGCGCATCACCACCCAGNTTTGAGAGGAGGCCATTTTTTTGTTGTTGACACTATTACAGATGTCCCCCATTCCCTCCACCTTCACCCAGCCCCCGCCACCCCTCCCCTGGCCTTCACCACTGTCATCTGTGTCCATGGCTATGCATATATGTTCTGTGGCTACTCTCTTCACCTTCTTTTATATGGTCGCCCCCACCTGCCTCCCCTCTGACCTCTGTCAGTCTGTTCCATGTTTCCGTGACTCTGATTCTATTTTGTTCGTCAATTTATTTTGTTCATTAGGTTCCACATATAAGTGAGATCATATGGTACTTGTCTTTCTCTGACTGGTATATTTCGCTTAGCATAATAATCTCCATGTCCATCCATGTTGTCGAAAAGGGTAACAGAGCCTTCTTTTTTATAGCTGCATAGTATTCCATTGTGTAAATGTACCACAGCTTTTTTATCCACTCATCTACTGATGGACACTTGGGTTGTTTCCAGATCTTAGCTATTGTAAATAGCTCTGCTATGAACATAGAGGTGCATATATTCTTTCTGATTGGTGTTTGGGGATTCTTAGGATATATTTCCACAAGTGGGATCTCTGGGTCAAAAGGCAGCTCCATTTTTAATTTTTGAGGAAAGTCCATACTGTTTTCCACAGTGGCTACACCATTTAGCATTCCCATCTGCAGTGTAGTAAGGTTCCCTTACATCCTTGCCAGCAATTGTTGTTTGTTGACTTATTGATGGTAGCCATTCTGGCAGATGTGAAGTGATACTTAATTGTAGTTTTAATTTCATTTCTCTGATGTTTAGTGATGTTGAGCATTTTATCATATGTCTATTGGCCAAAATCAACTTCTTGTGATCAAAAGACACAGCTAGTTTTCTTCTAAGTTACTATATCTTAGCAACTAGCACAGTGTTTGCATGTTGTAAATGCTATATACATAGAGTTGATTTGATTTTAAGACAGTCATTCCAAAAACATGCTGAACCAAGTTGGAGAGATAAGGGCTCTAAGATTAAACCAGTATTTATCTCATCATTTCTTGTAAAAAAAAAAAAAAAAAATGTGGGAATTTACTCAGAATTCATAAGATTCCTAGAAAGAAAAAAAAATATATATATATGCCTTTGGATTTCAAAAAGACCAGTCAAGATGTTGGAGCAGGTAAACGCAGTATTCACATCCTCTCACAATCACATCAAAATTACAACTAAACTACAGAACCACCATCATTGAGAACCACCTGAAATCTAGCTGAACAGAAGTCCTATAACTGAGGATATAAAGAAGAAGTCACGTCAAGGCTGGTAGGAGGTAGGGAGATGTGGATAGGCGGGTCCCATACCCACATGTGGTTGTTAAAATTCCAGAGGGATAACTCAGTTGCACAGTCCCCCCTGAGGAGCAAGGGGTCCCAGCCCCACACCAGGACGGCCAGCCAAGTAGAGAAGTCCCCATAACTTCTGGCTATAAAAACCAGCAGGGACTGTGACTGAATGAGATGGTGGACTTTTGGTGACCCAGGCAGTTCCTTTTAAAGGGCGCACACCTGGACTTACTCAGACTCACTTACTCTGAGCTCCAGCACTGGGGCAGCAGCTCAAAAGGGGCCAGGGAGGTACAGGGAGGAACTGGATTGTCTGACATCGGGGCGAGGACTAGGGAGAGGCAACTTTCTCCAGACAGAAGTGCTGGCAGAGGCCATTGTTCCTTTTCTGAGCTCTCACAGAGCCGGCACGTGGGTGCCATATTTGAGTTTCCGTCAACCTGGCAAATACTGTTCCCCGCACCCTGGTGTGCCTTTCCATGCAAACAGCTTGTCTTGGCTCATGCTGTGAACTTTCCTAAAATCTCTCAGACAAGTAGCATCTGGCCTTAGTGTGCTCCAAACCGCTTACTAAGTGGTCCCAGGCCTAGTACTAGCAGCAGCTGGACTTGGTTCACTGCTTTTTCTCTCCTGGGCACCTCTAAGCCCAGCACAAGTAATAGCCATCTACAGATTGCTTTGTGGCTTATGCTGGGTGGCTCAGGCAGGGCACAAGTGTCAGCTGACCTTAGCCTGTACCTCCTAGGAGGCCCCAGAGCCAGTGCACCCAGAGACAGCTCAGACCACACCTAAGTACCAACCAACCACCTTAACTAGCAACACACTCCAGGGGAGAACTCAGTGGGCACCAGAGCCCCCTGAAGTGAGTCCTGCTCCATGGGGTCGACCCCTGCACAGTACATCTTCCATGGCAGTCTCAGGCAGCCCTCACAGACAATTGACTTGAAGGTAAATCCCTCCCATTAATGTGCCAGCAGCAATCCAGACTCACCTGCAACAGGAGGGTGCACCAACCACATGGAGGACACACGGCTCAGGTGACTGAGAAGGCTGTACCACTGGGACCTACAGAACACCTACTTCGTAAGGCCACTTTACTAAGTCTGGGAGATGTAGCAACTCTACCTAATACATCGGAAAAAAACACAGGGAGTCAGACAAAATGAGGAGACAAAGAAACATGTTCCAAATGAAAGACTAGGACAAAACTCCAGAAAAATAACTAAATAAAATGGAGTCACGCAATCTGCCAGAAGCAGAGTTAAAGACACTGGTTATGAGAATGCTCAATGTACTCAAGGGAAGAGGAGAGGAACTTAGTGAGAATGTAAACAAAGAGATAGGAAACATAAAAATGAAGATAGAAACCACAAAGAAAAAACAGTAAAAAATGAAAAATACAGTAACTGAAATGAAGAATGCATGACAGGAATCAACCGTAGAGTAGATGAACCAGAGAATCACATCAGTGATTTAGAAGATAAGGAAACAGAAAACACCCAATCAGAACAATAAAAAGAAGAAAGAGTCCAAAAAAAATGAGGATAGTTTAAGGAGCCTCTGGGACAACTGCAAGTGTACCAATATTTGTATCATGGGGGAGCCAGAAGGAGAAAAGAGAGAAGAAGGAATGAAAACCTAGTGAAAAAATGGTGGAAAACTTCCCTAACCTGATGAAGGAAATAAACATTCAAGTCCAGAAGCACAGAGAATCCCAACAAGATGAACCCAAGGGGGCCCACACCAAGAAACATCATAATTAAAATGCAAAAGGTTAAAGACAAAGAAAGAATCTTAAAAGCAGTAAGAGAAAGATAGGTAGTTACCTAAAAGGGAGCTCCCATAAGACTCTCAGTTGATTTCTCAATAGAAACTTTTCAGGCCAGAAGGGATTGGCACAAAATATTTAAAGTGATGAAAAGCAAGGATCTATATCCAATATTACTGTATCCAGCAAAGCTGTCATTTGGAATTGAAGGACAGATAAAGAGCTTCCCAGATAAAGTTCATCACCATCAAACCAGTATTAAAAGAAATGTTAAAGGTTCTTCTTTAATAAGAAGAAAAGGTAAAAAATATGAATAATAAAATGGAAATACCTATCTATCAGCAATTACTTTAAAGGCAAATGATTAAATGCTCCTATCAAAAGACACAGGGTGACTGAATGGATAACAAAACAAGACCCTTCCATATGCTGTCTACAAGAGACTCACTTCAGATCAAAATACACACAGACTGAAAAAAAAAAAAGGGGGGGGGGGCATGGAAAAGGGTATATCATGAAAATGGAAACCAAAAAAAAAAGCTGGAGTAGCAATACTTACACCAGACAAAATAGACTTTAAAACAAAGGCTATAACAAGAGACAAAGAAAGACCCAGCAATTCTACTTCTAGGTATTTATCCGATGAAACACAAAACACTAAATCAAAAAGACATATGTTCACTGCAGCATTATTTACAATAGCCAAGATATGAAAGCAATCTAAGCATCTGTCAGTAGATGAATGGGTAAAGAAGTAGTGCGTATATACAATGGAATATGACTCAGCCAGAAAAAAAGAATAAAATCTTGCATCTGCAACAACATGGATGGCCCTAGAGGGTATTGTGCTGAGTGAAATAATTCAGACAGAGAAAGACAAGTGCCAGATGATTTCACTTATATAGGATAACTATGTATGATGTCAGGCGGTGCAAGGTTTATTACAGTGACTACTTTGTAAGTTATACAAATGTCTAATCACTGGGTTGTACACCTGAAACTAATATAATATTGTATGGCAACTGTAATTTAAAAATTATTTTAAAAAGAAAAACAGTTGACATAAGAATAAATTTATGTAGTGGCTAAAATTGCATTCTGACTTTCCAATCACAAATGATCTTGTAACTGGAACCAAATAAAGTGGCACCAAAGGGAGCTCTGATGAATTCAGTTGTTTGTTTTTCCAAAGTGAGTCTATACAATGAAAGTGGAAATAAAGGTGGGTAAATACAGAAGAGTCACACACACAGCTGGGGGAAATGACAGAGAATATAAAATAGCCTTTGTTCTCTTTTTTAAAAATTTTTTTTATTTGGTTTGTTTTAGGCAATTTTCAGTTTGTGGACCAAAGAAAAGAAAAATGTATGCCTATCAGTTGAGGCAATGACAGAAAGAAAGCAAATATTCCTAACTCTCTATTTTGCTTTGATCTTTTATATCAAGAAGAAAGGTCTTGAAACTGAAAACAGACAAAAAGAGCTCACAGGGAAATGAAGTTCACAACAGGTAAGGAGACACCCCAAAGGGTTCCTTTTTTATGAGCCAAGTATTCTGGTCTAAACAAATTACATCTCATGACAGACACAATTTATCAATGTGACTAAACACCAGACTTTATTCTTTCAGAAATTAAGAAGAATGGTAGAAGATGGGAACAGGAAAGTTGTTTTTATTTTTAAAAAGAAAAATAAGGTAGATCCTGGAAACAAAAGACTAGTAAACTTGATGTTAACCCACAGCCAAATTCCTGAATGGCTTATTAAATATTTTGGGAGCATTTAGATAAGAAAGCAATGAGCACCAGAAGCCCACAGGGGCTCAATAAAAACAAAGCAGGCTGAGCTAATCACAACTTCTCTTTTGCCAGCCTTGTTAGACGGGAACAGCAAGGAGATGCCGACATAGCTCATCTTGATCTCTGCCACTGAAAAGGTCCTTCTTNAGGAACAGCAAGATGCCGACATAGCTCATCTTGATCTCTGCCACTGAAAAGGTCCTTCTTTGGGTCCTGTGGGTAAAGGGGCAAAAGGTAGGCACCCTTGTTGTCCAGTTCTACCAGTGCAGAACTTATTGAGTAATTAAACCCACAGAGTGTTGACTGAGTGCTGCAGGATTCTGTATTTGGCCCTACCCTAAATAATATGTAGCAACAAGATCAAGGCTTAAGAAGGAAAGGTTAACAATTCTGACTCCAGGCTAGGAAGGAGAGCCCATACATAGGAAAAAGAGTCATGAATCAAAACCATCTCAGCAAGCAGCAAAAATGTGATGAAATTTTAAATTTGAGTAAAAAAATTAATTCAATAAAATTTGAATATTTATAAATTCAGTAAAAATGTCAAATCCTACACTGTACGTATTCTCATATACAAATAATAGTTCAGGATCTCTGGAAACAAGTCAAGTGATGCTCAAGTAATGGACTCTTGAGATAGAACATCAGACGGGTCAAAGGCAAGACAAATATTAGGACAAGAGATGCTGCTAGTGCTCTTATCACTTAGGAAATCACAGGGGTTTCAGGAGCGCTGTGCCAGGAACCGGGGCAGAGACCAAGCATGTATTTGTTATAAATCCCAGGGTCACATCTTTCCCTTCTGTTCTCACCTCTCTCCTCCAGGGGCAGCAGCGGCCTGGGGAAGCAGGTTTGCCTGGACAGAGCCGAAGTTATGCTCCCAAAGGGGCTTCGGGCGACGCTCTCAGACGCTCGTGGAAGGCCAGTCGGCCACCTGCCTAAAGGCCTGTGAGTGCGCGCGTGTTAGGGGCACATCGTGGAAAGGAGGGCGCGACCACCCGAGTGAAAGGCCTGGGCACCGGGAAGGAAAATGGGCAAGTGTGAGAGCAAGAGGAGTGGGCGGCACAGTGGGAAAGGCTTCCTGGGAGGGGCCTGTGAGAACCGCCCCTAAATACCTGAACCGTCCTTCAGTGAGAAATCGGACAAGCGCCGTACCCCGGTGACCTCAGGAGGGAGGAAGGAGGCCCTTCCCCGGAGGTCACGGGTCTCAGCCGAGGGCCCCACTGGCGCTCCTCATCCTCACTGTCCCGGCACCGGCGAGCGCTGCCTGCGGCTGCACAGCCCCTCCGGCGCGGGGCTGCCCCGAGGGCCGCAGGCCGGGAGCAGGGTCGCGGTGCTGTGCCCACTGTGCCCGTCTCCGTGCGGCCTGTCCTCCCCCACAACACCCACGGCCGAACGAGGACGGCTGCCGGGTGGAGCGGGTGAAGCCTAATGTCAGTCCTCCGCGTCTGAACCCCAGCTCCGTCGCTTACTCACCGCGGGGCTGCAGTGGCCTTGGGCAAGTTAGCTGCCCCCCCGACACCGTTTCCCCACCTGCACGCTGGGGCTGACAGGGCACCCGCCCACGGGGCTGTACGAGGGTCCCGGGGGACGCACAGGGAGCACTCAGCGCAGTGTCTGGGACGGAGGAAGTGCTCAGAAAGTTAGCCATTTATTGCGATTACTCCGTGATCTTTCTGATCTCTCTGAAGGCTCCTGGTGACCAGCCCCGGGAGCAACGTGCCGGCCACCTGCGCAGACGCAGGACGTCGCTCAGCGGGGCTGCACCTGCGCAGACGCGAGACGTCGCTCAGCGGGCTGCACGTGCGCAGACGGGAGAAGTCACTCAGCGGGCTGCACGTGCGCAGACGGGAGAAGTCACTCAGCGGGCTGCACGTGCGCAGACGGGAGAAGTCACTCAGCGGGCTGCACGTGCGCAGACGGGAGAAGTCACTCAGCGGGCTGCACGTGCGCAGACGGGAGAAGTCACTCAGCGGGCTGCACGTGCGCAGACGGGAGAAGTCACTCAGCGGGCTGCACGTGCGCAGACGGGAGAAGTCACTCAGCGGGCTGCACGTGCGCAGACGGGAGAAGTCACTCAGCGGGCTGCACGTGCGCAGACGGGAGAAGTCACTCAGCGGGCTGCACGTGCGCAGACGGGAGAAGTCACTCAGCGGGCTGCACGTGCGCAGACGGGAGAAGTCACTCAGCGGGCTGCACGTGCGCAGACGGGAGAAGTCACTCAGCGGGCTGCACGTGCGCAGACGGGAGAAGTCGCTCAGCCGGCCGTACGTGCGCGTGACCTCAGGCGCAGCGCCGCACGGGTGGCGCGCGGGCCAAGCCAGGGGCCGTCGTCCTCGATCACAGACCCGCGCGGTCTCCAAAGCCCGCTGCCCCCCCCCGCCCCCCG